ATCGATCGTCATCGTCGAACAACGCACAAACATCGAGTGTACACGCCTCTGCAACGTGTTTGAATTTGTTCCACGATAGTTTTACACACATAATAACTATACAATTCATCGTTTACAATATCTTGACTCGCCCGCGAGCTTAGTTGTTGTTTCACGTTCTTCGTTTTATAATTCTTTCTCGCCAGGTAAATACACATTATACATACATATATCTAGAATCGTTTTTTTGTTCGTCACATCACTCATATATCTTGACCCGTTTTTTCTTCTTTTTTTTCTTCTTCTTCTTCTTCTTCTTCTTTTTCTTCTCCTCCTCCTTCTTCTTCTTCTTTTTTTTTTATTATAATTATCGCTGTTTTTCTCTTTATGATAATTTTGCAAATCTACGTTCACTTGCGCGCCGTTTAAAATCTAACGTGGATTAGCGATGCGACGTTGAACAGAAAATGTTTCGATTAAAAAATAATTTTCGAAAATTTTGAATTTTAATATCTTTCCCCAAATTTAAAATATCACGATGTGAGTAAATTACGCGGAAATTTAATAATTTAAACCGCCATCTAAACGCCAAGAAATAAGTTACAAATAAATTTAATAATTTCATCATCATCGTATTACGTTATACGTATAAAAGAAACACGTTATATAACGTATTAGGTATATGTAACACGATGAATCGAGATATTTCAGTCGATATTAAATCGCTTCACCGATCCTTATTCTAAAAATTGATAAAAGATAACAGTTAAAAGATCGTATCAACGTGACATCGCTAATTTATACTTTAAACTTTAAAAATTTCGTCAAACATTCAGTTCGATCGATAACTCGAATCTCTAAATTTTGGCCCCGTTTCTTCTCCTCTACCTCCTCTCTCGAAATCGGAGCAAACGCGCGTACACTTCAACCGTTCGGACTCGTTCGACCGAATTCCCGCCAATTTCTCCCAATTTTCGTCTCAACGAAGGACAAGGATCGAGGAAAATGATCCGGGCGCGGCTCGATTCACAACATTATCGCAAGGAACGTTGATTCCTTACACGCTAATTAACACTGCATTTCTCGCTGCGAGGATGGTGTGGAATGGAAACGACGAAACGAGGATTGCGCCAAGATTGCGGCTATTCTCCCGGCTTATCCCAGAAAATTACACGCTATGGCCTAGTTTCGTTCACAATTTCCGATCGCGACACTCTACCATTCGTCCCTTCTTTCCGATGACCATCGGGCAGGAGAAAACGTACGATCGATTACGGTAATTGACGAGAATAATTGGGATACGAGGGATGCGCTACCTCGCCGCTCTACGATTAAACGATCAATCGACGAGTGGAAATCATCATCATCCTGACTGTGATTCATTGGATTATCGAGTTTCGTTCCATCTTCGCTTTCTCCTCCTCACGTCTCGATTAAAAAGATATTAAAATTCGGCTGACCGCGTTTTAATTCTCGAAAGTTATTCTCGCGTAACACTTCGACGATTCAACGAGGAGGTATAATTCGATTGTCGACACGGGGTGGTCCGAGAGTTTTTTTTCTTAGGAAAAATCCGATTATACCGATATGCGTATAATACGATTTATATGTATATATATATGTCTAGGAAGAGACAAATAAATATTGACAAAGGTCAGGCACAGATAGCGAGTGATAGAACGAAAAAAAGCATTTGATTTCTTTTCTTTTTTTTCTTTGTCAGTCGGTTGATTATCAAACGAATCGAAATCGATCGATGCTCTTCGATCGGATTTGCGGATTCGTTTGTTATCAGTTTGTTGTTCAAGATCAAATACTTTTTTTGCCTCGTATCACTGAGAGTTTGATTAATAATTTACATTATAGCCTGCATGCAACGTTGGCATTGATTCAACGTGGCAACGAACACACTCGTCTCTATATATCCTGTCCCTGTATTTGCCTACGTGGACCACAACAAGCTATTTCGACGACGAAATGGAAGATTGACGATGGATCGACGATGGATTCGCCACGCGTTTTTCTTTTTGGCCGCCGTGGGAAGAGATTTAACAATCGACAAACGAACTTTCGAATCGATGGATCGTTACGTTAATTATAAATCAATTTGTTCATCGAACGAATCTCTTCTCGCGGCTTCTCTCGTTAGGGAAGAAGAATTCGAACGAGTATTACGCCGAATACAGAGGACGCCGATCGGGTGGACAGTATACAGGATTTATATCTTTCTGTTGTTTCTACGATCGTTGGTAGAAAAATGTAGAAGGATGTTCCTCTTCGAAAAAACCGGTTTTTTTCTTTTTTTTTTTCTTTTTCTTTTTCTTTTTCTTTTTTTGGGGGAGGGGAGGGGAGGGGGAGATGAAGACAATAACGTAAGACTAGACTTCAACAATACATGCGGTTCTTCATCGCCGTAGAGACACATTGCTGGTGGAGTATAAAAATATAAACATTTAAAAATGAAGAAGCGAGACGTCGTTTAAAGACGCGGAAAAATAATTTTTGCGTCGAGCGTGAAAACGCGTGCATCACGAGGGTTCTTTTTTTTTTTTCTTTTTTTTTTTTTTTTTCTTTTTTTTTTTTTTTTTCTTTTTTTTTTTTTTTTTCTTTTTTTTTTTTTTTTTCTTTTTTTTTTTTTTTTTCTTTTTTTTTTTTTTTTTCTTTTTTTTTTTTTTTTTCCTACGTTGTACCGTTTATCCATTTACCATTTAGCCGATTATGTCTCTTTTATTTCGCTTTTTTAATCCTCGTTCTAAACGCGTTCGAAAATAGACCAAGAGTGTATTTCTTTGTCGATCCATTATATAAATTTAGCGATTATTGGTAGATGAGATAACGTGATCGCTATAAAAAATAAATAGACGTTAATATATTCGTTGACTATTGATAAAAGAATTAAAATAATCGTTAGATCAAAAGATTCCACCGATTTTACAACAATTTTTCGATGAGAATACACGATGTGTTTATATAATATTTTTTAAATCATAGGAAGACATTTTTTTTTCAACGAGGAAACAACATTTATTTAACATTCATCTAAATTTTTGACAGATCAACAAAATCGTTTTTTTCATGCGAATGATTGCCTCGAAATAATTGGAATCGATTGATTTCGTCTCTTTCCCCGCGACGTTCGAGATAAACACGAAATTATTTCCTTTTTCTTCTCTCTCTCTCTCTCTCTCTCTCTCTCTCTCT